GTGATAGCACTATAGTGAACATTTGAGTAAATTTTGGCTGATTTCAGTATTTTTCTAAAAGTAAGATTGCTGAGCCAGAGTGAAAAAAAAATGTAAAGACTTATAATGTGTATTTGTCAGACCAACTCCTTCAGGTACCCCTTTCCTGCCCCTTCCTGCCTTTCACACTGTGGCTCATGGTTCCAGGCTCAAGCACGGACATCAGCGAGGACTGGGAGAAGGACTTTGACTTGGACATGACCGAAGAAGAAGTACAGATGGCCCTTTCCAAAGTGGATGCCTCTGGTGAGGTGAGTGGGCCTAGTTGGCTAGAGGGAAGTAATCCCAGTAATCCCGGGGTCTGAGAATTCTCTCTACCATGCCCAGCCCTTTAGGGGGATCCCTGCTTCTATCTGAGGTGGCAGGTTGCAGGAAGGGGTATCCTACTCAGGCCCACAACAGTTGTCATCAGCAGGTTCTGCTTCCCCTCAGTTCCAGGGTGGGTGGATGTGAGAGTTCCTGATTTTCTTAGAAATACAGATGTGGAACCTTGCCCAGACCTGACTCATGGTCTCCAGGTGTGGGGTCTGAGCAAATTCTTGGCCTTGGAAACAAAAGACCAGTGTGATCAAGTTACTTCACCTGAGCCTGCTTCCTCATCTAACACATCAAGTTGATTATGATAAGGCCTGGCTTATTATAAGCTGTAATAAGGTTAATGCATGTAGACACATTAGGTATAGTGCCTGGGACATAGCAGATATGAGAGATAAACACTCTAAACCCATTCTAGTTACTAAACTCAGGGAGGCCTTATTACTCTTTGTTCTCTTCACTGCCTCCCAGCATCAAGAGTGGGTCAGTTTGGGCTGGGCATGTTGGCTTACACTTATATATTACACTCTGGGAAGCCAAGGTGGGAAGAAAGCTTAAGGTTAGGAGTTTGAGACCAGCCTGAGCAAGAGCAAGAGCCCATCTCTACTAAAAATAGAAAACTGAGCCAGGCATGGTGGCAGGAGCCAGTAGTCTCAGTTACTCGGGAGGCTGAGATAGGAGAATTGCTCAAGCCCAGGAGTTTGAGGTTGCTGTGATGATAATGCCATGAACTCCAGCTCTAGCTGGGGTGGTGAAATAAAACTGTCTCAAGAAAAAAAAAAATGGGGTCATTCTGAATGAGAGGCTGGAACAGCCTAAAGTTCTTAGTGAGGCTCCAGCCCAGACATCTGATTCCCATCAGCGTTATTTCCACTGTCATACAAGAACCACACAATCGGGCGGCACCAGTAGCTCAGTGGGTAGGGTGCCAGCACATACACCGAAGCTAGCGGGTTTGAACCCAGCCTGGGCCAGCTAAAATGACGACAACTGCAACAAAAAAAATACCCAGGCATTGTGGTGGGTGCCTGTAGTCCCAGCTACTTGGGAGGCTGAGGCAAAAGAATTGCTTGAGCCCAAGAGTTTGAGGTTGCTGTGAGGTATGACGCCATGGCACTCTACCAAGGGCAACAACTTGAGACTCTGTCTCAAAAACAAAACAAAAAAAAAGAACCACACAATCTTTTCTTCATATAACTCATGAATCTGCTAGAAAGAGGTGGACACAGATTAGAGAGACATTTGATGGCCTTGTTTTTTATAATGGGAAATGGAAGCCTTGGGAGAAGATAGTGACCTACTCAAGAGTATTTCATACCTGTGTTCCTCATTATACCCAGGGCAGAGAAGGCCTAGGGTGCCCTTTCAGGCCACAGAAGCTTACTGGCTTTCTGTAGCTTTCAAGTCTGGCACACAGTATACCTGAGTAGTCATTCAGTAATCTATCATATCAGGGCTCAGATGACAGCATGCCAAGAGTAGTAATGAAAAAATTCCCTGGGGACTTCATCTGGGAATTAGGGTGCTGGAGCCCTTGTGATGACCCATGAGCACCTATAGTCAGTTCACTGTCAGTCACACTTTTGATCACAGTACCACTCGCAAGTTCTCTGCCTCAGAACCATGGCCTTATCAGCTCAGGAGGAGAGAAGTTCTTGGCCGGGCGTGGTGGCTCACGCCTATATTCCTAGCATTCTGGGAGGCTGAGGTGGGTGGATTGCCTGAGCTCACAGGTTCGAGATCAGCCTGAGCCAGAGTGATGCCCCATCTCTAAAAAATAGCCGGGCGTCTGGGCAGCACCTTTGGCTCAAAGGAGTAGGGCACCAGCCCTATATACTGGAAGTGGCAGGTTCAAACCTGGCCCCAGTCAAAAATTGCAAAAAAAATAGCCGGCGTCATGGCTGGTGCCTGTATTCCCAGCTACTTGGGAGGCTAAGGCAAGATAATCGCTTGAGCCCAAGAGTTTGAGGCTGCTGTGAGCCATGACGCAATGGCACTCTACCAAGGGCGACAAAGAGAGGCTCTATAGAGACCCAGAGAGAAGTTCTCCATAAGGGACTGACTTAGCTCCTGTAGGGCAGGGCATCACCATGTAGTATCTGGTGTTGGTTGGTGGAAGCTTTTCTGTTGGGTCTGAAATAATCAGAGCAACAGGTCTACCCCCAGGCAGAGGGCAGCTCTGCTCCCCAGACACATTGTAAGGGTTTATGCTCATAGTAGGGGCAGGATGTGGCCTGGGTGGTAGGTGGGAATAATTTTCCAGAAACGGAGGCAGCTCTGCTCAGCAAGGGGAGGTTGAGTCTGGGCTACTCAAAGGAGTAAATGTATATTTGTGCTCTTCCTTATCCCCTCCCATCTGCAGCTGGAAGATGTAGAGTGGGAGGACTGGGAATAAAGGGAGCCAGAGTGAGCTGCTCCCCTACCCACAGCACTTCCCACCTCCCTTGCTCATCTCAGCTTGGCCCTGGAAGACACTGAGAACTCTCCCCAAATCTCTTCTGCCAGCCAGAGCTCTGGGCACAGATTATGGGTGACTTCCTGCTGGCCCTTTGGGCCTTTGCTCACAGTTGGGAAGGGGCTCTCTAAATCCAAGTCAGGAATTCTGACTTGTGCCAACCACAGGATGACCTAAGAGGGAGAAAACCTACCCCCTTCACCAGAAGAGCCTACATTTCTCTGCTGAATACCCACTGTTCCGGGGGACTCTTGCTGGGAAGTCCCAAGGGATAGCTCCAGCTCTTTCACCTGTGTAGACAGAACCTAAACCACCAGTCTCTTGGAGGAAGCTGAGAAAATACCACACCCTCTTCACCTGTAAGCAGGCAGTGATGGCCATGCCACCTGGCTAGAGGGAAAGTGAACACATTTTGGTTCCTATCCCAGTGGTTAAGAGGAGCTCATCTCTGGGAAATTTGCCTCTCTTGAGACTCTTCTCCCTCCCAGGCATTTTCCATTCCTGGAAAAATTCCTTGGGGTTCAGAATCTAGAGACCAAACCATGACCCCACTTCCTTCATTTTCTCCAGCCCATGCTGTTATATCCCCATGCCTTTCCTAAGGCTTGTTCACATCAGATGCACCCAAGTCCTTAGCCCAGCTGTGCCACCTGCAAGAGTAGTTAGCTCTTGCATTTCTTCCCCTCCCTAAAAAGGGAGGGGACCACTTCAGGCCCTTGTGTGCGTTGCCTGGCAATGGATACTTTGTCCAACCAGCTACCCACCTCGACTCCCCTGTAGCTTAGGACACAAGCCAGCTACCAGCGGTACAGAGCAGTGATCAAAGCAGAGTACTTACAACTCCAGTGAGCCCAGCTTTTCCGCCTCAACCCTTCTGCATCTTGAAGGGATATGCTGGGAGTGACTTTTTGAGATGTTCAACAGGCTTCTGCAAAAGCTCTTCTTCCTGAAGACAGACCCAGCCTTTGTGGCTCTCACCCTCCTCTCTGGAAAAGCTGCACCTCTCTTGGGGGAATGAGGGGCCGCAGGAATCCCTGGAGACCCTGGTGCTTCACGATGCTGCTCTGGTGATTCTTGTACATAATCTGGTGTGTTCACCAATGATTTAAAGGGATCGTGGTCAGAGACACCAAGAGAATGGTGGTCACTTCCACTTCAAACCTTCAGTGAGGGGGTGGGATGGAGAGAATGCTGAATCTTTTTTTTTTTTTTTTGATGGGATGAGGTTTTTCTCTTTGTAATTATTTCTTTAGTTTAATTAACCTTTTGTTGTTTGTGCAATATTATATATTTTAAATTATAATGCATTTCCCCAGAGTATTTTGTAGCCGAGAAAAGAAAACAAGGAAAAAAGAAAAAAGATTCTAACAGCTGTTAGTTTTATAATTAAAAAAGAAAAATGAACTTTGTCCTGAACCTTTTACAGACTTGCCGTTAACAGCATTAAAGTGATTGAGCAGAAGCTGGAAGGTGTCTGGGGATCTGTTTTTCCCCCATGGCAGTTGTACTGGGACAGGGCAGGACACATGCCATGCAGCAGTGGCTTCCTGCTTGGAGCCAAAGACAGGGTGTGGGAATAGCCTGGGTCTAGAACAGGCATCCTCAAACTACAGCCCGCAAGCCACATGTAGTCCGCTGGGTGTTTTTGCTGTCGCTGCCTGTCCTGCTTAGCAGCCAACTCGTCCTGGGGCCCGCAGTCCGGCCCTCCAACAGTCTGAAGGACAGTGAACTGGCCCCCTGTTCAAAAAGTTTGAGGACCCCTGGTCTAGAGAAAGTCCCTGTCCTCATCCCAGATTCAGTTTGCTCTTTGGGTTGAAGAAGGGACAGGGCCACTAACAGGCCTCTCAGACAAGGAGCCAGGAAGCCATTTCTACCCAATGCTTCTACTTTTATTAGGAAAGAAGTTGCAGCAACAGTGGTTCCAATTGCTCTTGGCCATTTTTCTCCTCTCTTCTCGCCTCTCCTTCCCCCTCTCCTCTCCTCCCCTCTGCCTGTGTGTATAGAATTCTAGGGTCTACTTTAATTAACTTTAAACACCTGTATGAAAATCACTTGTCAGCCATAATAAAAGGGAAGTCTGAATGAGACCCTTTAGTTCCGGGAAGATATTTAAAGGGGAAAAAATACTAAGTCCGGGGAGGGTATAATTAAGTTTTAGGATAAGTAAACTTAAAATATATATATATCACCATTTTAGAAGCGGGTTTTTGGGTTTGCTTTCTCCCCTTGCTTTATTGGGGAGGACTTGCCATTGCTTTTATGAAGTGCTTGCTAGCCATGGATGCCAACTAACTTCTTCAATTGAAGGCCGGAGAATCATGTCTGGTTCCAGGAGCCTCTTGAGCAGGTCCTGGCATTCGGCCGAGATGCCCAGATGAGTAGGGAAGGACACCCCCTTCTGCTGTTGCCACAGCATCTTGGGAATGTCTGTGTCGTCAAAAGGTAGGCTGGCACAGAGCATGACATAGAGGACCACGCCCATGCTCCAGACGTCACCCTTCTTGCTATCGTGGGGAATGCCCTGCAGCACCTCGGGGGCGGCATAGGCTGTGCTGCCGCAAAAGGTCTGGCTCAGCTCCCGGCGCAACTTGGGCAACACCTTGGCAAAGCCAAAGTCAGTCAGCTTCAGGTTAAAGCCCTGCAACAAGGCATTCTCACATTTGAGGTCCCGGTGGGCCACACCACAGCCATGGCAGTAGCGGATGGCTTCGACCATCTGACGGAAGAGGGCCTTAGCCCGGCTCTCAGGCAGTGGCCCCCCATTCAGCACGCAGTCAAAGACATCCCCTCCTTCAGCCAGCTCCATCACCAGGTAGATTTTACCGTCGGCAGACTCCAGCATCTCATACACCTGGATGATGTTCTTGTGGTCCAGGGTGCGGACGATCTGGAGCTCCCGAGGCAGGAATCTCTGGATAAACTCTGAGGAAACAAGGGGAGGAGAGATGAGCTATCAAGATCAAAAGGCATAACTCCTTACTCCTGTCTCCTGCCTTTCAGCTTCTGTCTGCCCACCATGCCTGGGTCTTGTTTCTTGGCTCCCTTGATGGTCTTAAGTATGTCTGGCTGCTTGGACATTGCAGAATGTTCACTTCTGTTATTTTTGTAATTAGGTGGGGTTTTTTGTTTTTTTGTTTTTTTTGAGACAAGAGACTTACTTAGTCACCACAGTGCCATAGCTCACAGCAACCTCAAACTCTTGGGCTCATGAGATCTTCTTGCCTCAGCCTAGTTAGATTGTTTTTTGGGGTTTTTTTAGTCTAAGTCTTGCTTTGTCACCTGGGCTAGAGTGCCATGGCCTCAGCCTAGCTCACAGCAACCTCAAACACCTGGGCTCAAGCAATCCTGTTCAGCCTCCCACGTGGAAATTACATACTACAGGTACATACCAACACCATTGGTTACATTTTCTATTTTCTGTAAAGATGGTCTCACTTGGCTCAAGCTGGTCTTGAACTCTGGACCTCAAGTGATCCTCCTGCCTCGGCCTCCCAGAGTGCTAGGATTGCAGACATTGACCCACCATGCCCAGCTAATTAGCTTATTTTTTGAGACAACTATTCCCTGCTAATCTGAGGGACCACTTTTGAGCAATCTGTGAGACCACAGATATCAGGGTGCTTTGAGGACTTTTAGACAAAGCTGTTGAATCTCAGAAGGCCTGATTGGCCCATAGAGTGGTGAGCCACTTCCTCCCAGCGCTGCCTCCTGACCTTCAGCTCTCTCTCTCTGAGCCCTGCCTGCCTTCTCATCTCTACTGGCCTTGGGGCCAACTCCTGCCCTCTGCCAGGACTGGCTGTGGCCTCTGCCTGTCATCTCTCCTCTGCTGGAGTAAGAGAAGCCTGGCCGGCTCAGATTCTTCACCTTGCACCACTTTAATCGGGTTTTGGAGGGTGTGATGCTGGACTCCCAGCACCCCTTTGTTCCCCAGTAACCTACTTCAGACCCCAGATATAGGGGCTTTCCTTGGTTCCAGACTGGAAGGGAAGAGGGAATGATCTTTCTGACTGGAGGAAGCACCCACCCACCTCAGCCAGCCCTCCCTTCCTCCAAAGGGGCCCCAGCTCACCTTCTGGCCCTCCCATCTTGTCTATAATTTTAATTGCCACTTTTCTTTGGTGTTTTTTGGAAAATGCTTCTTTGACTTTTGAGTAGGTCCCTTCCCCAATGGTCTTGCCCAGCTGGTACCCATTGGAGAGCAGAAAGTCCTCCATGCTGTCTAGTGCCTCCTTCCTTCCTATCACCCTCTCAGCTCATGCTGCCTCTGCGAGGCAGCTCTACTCCACCATCGCCCTTGGCCTGCTTCTTTTCCCCCCAAGGACTTCATCCGCAGCCGCCCCCAGCGCTAGAACATTCTCCGTCTGGACACAGCCGCGGGTGGTGGGGAGGGAGAGGACCAGACATTTTAAAACTCTGGTCCAATTGTGATGTAAATGCTGTGTGACCCTTGGCCAAAATGGGCAGTGCCCCTACCTGCCCTCACCACCACCACCAAACCCAACACAGGTTAAGTCACCACCGCCTCCGCGCCCGCGTGGAGGGCACTCCGGGGTGTCTGCATGGGGCAGAGATGCCTCTCGGCGCGTTGTCCTCACCTCCTGCACCTCCATGGGGCCGCTGGGAGTCTCCCCGACCCAGTCTCGAGTAGCCATGCCAAGAACCTCCAGCTCCCAGCTCCGGCCGGTGTTAAGTGCCCGGCCAGCCTGGGGCGCCAGGGGAGTTCCCCGGCGGGAGGAACGAGCTCTGTGAGGTCACCGCGCCGCAGTCCGGGTCACAATGCAGCCGTCCCGCTCGACGCCCGGGCCCGGATGCGCTGCAGACACCTGCCCGGCTCCGCCTGGACCGGAGCGTCCTCCCGCGGCCAGGGCTCGGGCAGCTGCTTCCAGCCTGGGACCGGCCTCGGCCTCTGGCAGGTGAGCAACGACCCAGGGGGGGCGAGCGCGGGGAGGGGGGCCCCAGCGGCCTGAGAGCGGCCTGACCGCCCCTCCCTGCGCAGAGAGCCCCGGGGCCTGGACATGAGTGCCCAGGAGCCCCCGCAGGGTCGAAGATTCCCCATTGAGGCGGGAGACTCCCCTGGCCTTGCCGCTGCCCCCGAGTCCCAGGACAGCCCGGAGCCTGTAGCTACAGAGCACAACCCGGTCAGGTGAGGCCGGCGCCCCCCTCCCCGCGGCCCCGCGCTCCGTCCCACTTTCAACCCCAGGGCTCCCTGGCGCCACGGTAAGGTCTCCACATCCACGCCCGCACCCCTGGAGTCGTGGGCGCACCCCCAAAGGATGGGCCGGGCTCCCGCCTCATTGCTTCGCGTCACGCCTGGATTTCCCCAGGCCGCTTCGTCGCTGCCCGGGCTGCCACTGTCTGACGCTGCTGCACGTGCCCATCGACGTCTACCTGGCCATGGGCGGGAGCCCCGGGGCCCGCGCCACCTGAGTGCGCCTGCGCACGGCGGCTCCGCGGGAGCCGGGCGGGGACGAGGCCGCCGCGGGCCACCACGCTGAGGTCGCACGCGCCGAGCACGAGACAATGATGCACATTTTAAAATAAAAGAATGATGCACATTTTAATAAAGCACAGCATAAACTGTTCTTTCCACTTCGGGCTGGCCGTGTGTGTCTGTCCATCGGATCGGGCCCACCAGCTGCTCTGCCCCAACCAATAATGCTTTCCTTTCCGCTGCCTCCTCACGCGGGTCCAACCCCAGGGTCCATCCTGCCAGGTCACCTTACTCTCGCTGGGTGCCACCTCCCTTCCCCCATTTCTTGCTGGTCATGACCCCTTTCTGGGCGATTTTTCCCCTCAGACCCTGCCCTTGTCCTTCTTTCTTCCTTAACCATCTCCTTGGTTCTCCAGCAAAATTCACATTACTGTGCTGGCCGCTAGCAACCCAAAAGAGCTTAGGACTGGAGGGAGAGATAGACAACGTAGAATAAAAGGAATGGCCACCCACACTAGGTCCATTTAATTCTCCAAAGCTGAAATTAGTTTCTGCCACCTGCTCTTTGTGGCCCTGGGCACCTCTGGCCTTGTAGGAATTAGGAGCCACCCAAGCCATCCCGAGCCTTGGTTTGTCCTTAGGACTGTTGGGAACACAAGACTGGGGGGAAAAAACCATTTGAAAAACTTTGGTTTCTTAACTTCCTATTCTACAGGATGGGCCTAGCCCCCACTTCCCATCTCCCAGATGATAGGTGATGCTAGCACACTCCTCATTCCATGCAATCAGTTTTCACCAACACTTACCCCTTCCCCATGCTAGGTGTTGAGAATCCAAGACTGATCCTTACCTTGCCTGTTCTTTGTTTCTTCTCCCAGGAAAAGCCACTAGGCTAAACTCTAGGCCTTAGTTTAAGTCCTGATTCTACCATTCCCTAACTGTGCAATATTGAGCTAGTTAGCATCTCTGAGCTTCCACATTCAAATCTGCAAAATGGGATTAAGGAGACCTGCCAGAAGGTTCTAGTAAGAGCCTGTGCTTACTGGCTTGGCGCCTGTAGCACAATGGTTACGCGCCAGCCACATACACCGAGGGCGGCGGGTTCAAACCCTGCCCAGGGCCAGCTAAACAACTTCAACAAAAAAATAGCTGGGCATTGTGGTGGGCGCCTGTAGTCCCACCTACTTGGGAGGCTGAGGCAAGAGAATCACTTAAGCTCAAGAGTTTGAGGTTGCTGTAAGTTGTGATACCATAGCACTCTACTGAGGGCGACAGAGTGAGACTCTGTCTCAAAACAAAAAAGAGCCTGCGCTTACAGCATCAGGCTAAGCCAGCACTCAATAAACAAGGGAGGCTGCTACTGCTGTCACTCCTACCTTTGACGTCAAGGGGCAGCAAAGAGCCAGAGAGGCAAATACTGTCCCCCTAGGTATTGGGTAATGTCCAGCCCCAGAAAAGGCTAGGGAAAGTCCCTTGCCTCTCTCTGCCAGCTTCATAGCAATTCTGCTCAGGAGTCTAAGAACTTGGCAGGGGAGGGCATTTCCAGGGGAATCCCTAGGTGGAAAAGGCAAAGCTGCCTCCCTCATTCCAGAGGACAAAGCTGTCCCCAGACCCCAGCGCAGGACCGCCAGGTCCCAGCCTTATTCTCTGGGCCTGAGGAATAGGGAGGGGCAAGGCAAAGGGAGATGTTTGAATCATTGCCTTCCCTGACTTCTTTCTTAGACACCTTATTAGCCAATCCCTCCCTAAGGGACCCCCTTTTAGAAGGAGGGGGCGAAGTACAGATGGACCCCCCCAGGTTGCCATGGAGATGGCAGAGAAAGGGTTGCTGTATCGCCATGGCAATAATTGACGTCAGCACTACCCTTTCCCACTGCTTGATGTGAGAGGGGGACAGCCACCCCAACTGCAAGCAGATTCCCCACAAAGCCTCCTCCCCTTCCTAGGCCAATCAACCAGGGGGTCTCCAGGCTTAATATAGCACAGGAGTTAAAAGCACAGACTCTGATGTCAGTCAAACCTTGGTTCAAATCCTCACTCTCCCGCATCCTAGCTGTGTGAATTTGAGCAAGTGCCTTAACCCTTTGAAGTCTAATAGGTGCACTGAGGAGAAATAGGTTCTGTGCCTTATTACATGAGGATTACATGGGACTGTACATGTTACAGTAACTGGGACCTGCTTATGGGAAGCACACATTGATGGTAGGGACTGTCAAATGTCCTGCTTAGCATCTTAAGACTTGTCAGGGGACTGTGGCCCTTCAGATATAGACTCACAGACCCTAAAGGGCACCTGGGACTTGACAAGAACTGGGACCCAGTGTTTGAGTATCTCAGGATTTGGGGGTCTCAGGGGTGGAGCCAGAATCAGTGGAATTTCCAGGCTCTAAGGAAACTCCAATGTCACTTTCCCTGAAACCTCATCACATCCAGACTCTGACCCAACTTCCTCTTTCTTCTCCCCTCTGGCTTGTCCTAGGCCTTCTTAGCGGCCTTCTGCCTTTTGGGCCTCCATCTGCACCCCTAAGAAAGAGGATGGATGAAGAACCATAGGAAGACACCCAACAACCTGACACCAGGTAGAACAGGGGCTGGATGCTACAGGGTATGGGTGGCCCAGCTCCCACTACCCTCTCCTCACCCACCCTGAGAGGACCAGAGTGAATATCAATCCCTCCCTCTTCCCAGGCAACCACAGTTCATCCTGCCCCAATTCCATTGCCACCACCCTGAGTCAGGGCCCATCACTATTCATCTGGAAAATTCCAGTAGCCCCAGTTTGGGTATCCCTGCTTCCTTCCTCTCTTGATTCCCCCAATCCAGAATTATTTTATAAAGCCCACAAGCCCAGCTGTGCCGCTTTCTCACTTAAGTCTCAATGCCAGGCCTAGTGGCTCACTCCTGTAATCTCAGCTCTTTGGGAGGCCAAGGTGAGAGGATCACTTCAGGCCAGGAGTTTGAAGCCAGCCTGGGCAATATAGTGAGACTCCATCTCAAAAACAGTAATAATAAAAAATAAATAAATCTCATCAATGGCTTCTTCACATCACTTATCCAGCCACATTGGACCTCTCTCAACTCCTCACAAAGTATTCTTGAAACCCCCAGCACACTGTTCCTTCTGCCTGGAATATCTTCCCTCCCGACCCCAGCAGCCCCTCAGATCTCCACCCTGACCATCCTTCCTTCCCCTCCCACAGCACCTGCTGGTACCACTGTGCTCCTTTCTGTGAACATATCTGTTCCTTTATACATATTTAATGACTTCCCCATCACACTTCAGATTAACTGGGGCCAAGGGATGAACTATGCTATCCTGACATCCCTGAGGCCTAAAATGGGAGGACGGTTCAGGAGTCCTCAGGTTGACTAGCTAGTGATGGCTGCTTGCTAAGTGCACAGAGGAGAGACCCTGGTGTCATGAGAAGGAATAGCAGAGCTACCTACCTGCACGGTGGGGCGGGGTGGGGGGTGGTGGTGTCAGGAATGGCTCCCATGGGAACTAATGCTTGAAGTAAAGGATGAGAAGCAGTTACTCAGGCAAAGACATGATGTTGAGGAATGTCCCCAGCTCTGGGAGTAGTATACGCCATAAGTAAACACTGTGCTGAAAACACTGTGCAGGGGTACTGCTCATGTTGTTTTTGTTTTTGTTTTGAGACAGGGTCTTGCTCTGTTGCTTGGGCTACAGTACAGTGGCATCATCATAGCTCACTGCAACCTCAAATTCCTGAGCTCAAGCGATCTTTCTGCCTCAGGCTCTTGAGTAGCTGGGACCACACCAGGCTAACTTTTCTCTTTTTTTGTAGAGACAAGTTCTTGCTATTTTGCTCAAGGCTGGTGTTGAACTCCTGGCCTCAAGGAGGCTCCTGTCTCAACCTCCCAAAGTGCTAGGATTACAGGTATGAGCCACCTTTCTGGGCTCAATGCTCATGTTTTGGAAAGATAACCCAAGCTGCCCTGTGGGAACAAACCACATAGGGAATTGAGAATGGCAACAGGGAAACAAGTCAGGAGGCTGTTACAGCCTCCAGGTAAAAGGTGATGGAGCCTCAGATCAGGTGGTGGTGGTGGAAATGAAGAGAAGCAGTGGAATTTTAGGTATGTCCTAGAGAGGACAGGTTGTCATAGCTACTTGAATACGAAAAAGGAGATTAAAGGGAGAATCTAGAACCAAACGCAGATTCTGAGTTCAGGGAACTGGGAAGTGGCCAAGCTGGGGAACATGGGAGAGAGGGCAGGTGTGGGACGTGTTTCCCATGTGGTGAGGCATCCAGCAGGAAGGGTATGGGTGGGGAAGAGGGCTAGGTTCAAAGAGAGCAGTCTCTGATAAGCGGGACACTGAAGGTATGGGAACTGACAAGACTCCAATGAGACTCCCCTGGAATAGACTGTACAGGACCCAGGAACAACCATTATTAGGCTGTGAGCAAAGGATGAGAAATTTGCCAAGTAGCAGCAACTAAAGTAAGCAAGAAAATCAGGAGGGCACAGTGTCCAGAAAAACAAGGGCCCCAAAGTACCTTAAATAGGAGGGAGTATCTGTGTCAAAGTCAGCCACTGCCAAAGGGTCAAGTCAGATAAAGACTCAAAAGTATCCCTTGCATTTAGCAACAAGGAGGTCAGTAATGACCTTGGTGAGCTGTTCCTGTGGGATGGTGAGGGAGGAAGCCAGATTACAGGGGTTGAGTGAGGAATTGGAAACAACATATGTACACAACTCTTCCAAGAATGTTGGCTGCAAAGAGGAGTTGAGGAAGGGCTTTCTGTTTTCAAAGATAGGAACAACTAGAAGCTGTTTGTTTGCTGATGGGAAAGACCCATCATGGAGTGAGAGGTTGAAGATAGAAAAAAACGGGAAAGGATGAGAGGAGGGAGATTCCCCAAGGAGAAAAAAAAGACTAGATCCCCAAATATGGCTGCATAATGGGGGGGGAGGGCAAGTCAGGGCCTGTCTTGGGCTCTGGGGGCTCAGAACAGCTGCCCACTCTCCCCGGCAGCCAGTGTGAGTCACTGTGGGGGAAATAAGCCAAACTGGCAGTGTGGGAAGGGGAGCTGGGCCAGCACGTTCCTCAGGATCCCCAGGGGGTCAAGGAGCAGGGCCTAGCCTGAACTCAGGCTTTGAAATCCATGCTCTGAGGACAAGGGCACAGAAGGG